GAGCTCAAGTTTCAAAGAATGGAGAGGGGAGGAGAGGAGAGAGAGACAGAGAGGGAAGGAGGGGGAGAGAGGAGAGAGAAGAGATAGAGACAGAGAAAGGGAGGGAGGGGAAGAGAGGGAGAAAGGATAGATAAAGAGAGAGGGAAAAGAGAAGAGATGGGAAAAGAAGAGAAGAAAAGAAAAGAAAAAAGAAAAAGAAAAGAGAAAGGGAGAGAAGGGGAGGGTAGGGGAGGGGAGAAAAGACATCCCAAGACAGAGCCCAGGTTGAGGACTGTAAGGCCTGGTAAAGTGCCAGGACCCGGATATAGGGTGTTGATATTGTTGCTGGCAGAAGCCAAAGGAAGTTTGTGTTGGGGAAATGGGCGTAGGGCCAGCAGGTAAACAGGGCCCATCAACCACTTTCAGCCTTTTTCCCTCCTCAGCCCAGGACCCACCCAACTCCCATCTGGCATCCTGCTATCTGGGCATCTCATCCTCCGCTCCCCAGCTGTCTACATCAGACTTAGACTCTTGGCTTCCCTTCTTAGGTAGCTGAGGTAGCTGCCTACCTCCTCAGCCCCAATTCCCCTCTACCCCATCCTTCCTCGGACCAAGGTGCGTCCTTGGTCCCTCCAGTCCTTAGCAGGCCCCCTTCCTCATTCCCATCCTTCCCCAAGATGGCCCCTCCTCACCCTTCCACCCTAGACCTCAGCTCCTGCCTTGGAGTTCACCTCCATCCCAGGATTTTTGCTCACCACACCCCACCTCCTGGCTCTGCCCTGCCACTGACTTAGCATCCCCCTCCAGGAAGTTGGCACTATCTCTGGGACAGCTGACTTGGGTCAGGGTGTGGTCACAGAGCTCCATTATAAAAGCCAATCGATGGAGTTGCTAAGACGCTCCTGGGACCTGAAGGTGAGACTGTCTTGCGCCACACTGGACCCCTGCCTTCTTCTGCTCTCCTTGAGTGATGCAGACATCCCATTCCCCAGATCTCCCTTCCCTCTAGGGTCAAAGCATCTATTCCCTGGCCCTGCTGAAGACTCAGGCATCTCTTTCTCCAATTCTCCTCTCCCTCTGAGGTCAAAGCATCTATTCCCTAGCCCTGCTGGGGACCCAGGTCCAGCACCCCCTTGCCCAGTTCCGCCTCCATCCCTCTCACCTCAGAAGTTGGCTTGTGATGGCAGATAGGTCTGCAGCTCCAGGAAGAAAGAGTTCTCTTTCAGTGGTTCCCACTAAGAGTATTAGGCACATATGAATGACTTTCATTCTCCCTTACAGAAATGGGTGCCCAGGGGAGCTGGTGGGCGTTCTGGGCTGGAGTCAGCTTCTTGCTGGGTGAGTATAAGCCAGGATTCTGGGGGTCAGTCTATGTTTCTTTCCCCTCCCCCATTCTCCCTGTGCCTGCTGTCTGTCTGTCCATTCTCCATTATTGTCTGTCTAGAATCTGTGCTGGCTCTTTTCAAGGTTGCTTATTTGAGGGACACCCTTCCCCTTTCCCTTATGGAATACTCTTCTTCCTATACCCTTGATAAAGGCCTCTGCAGGAGGAAGTGGTTCTCCTAGCATGTCCTGGGGGAAACTGAGGTACCATGGATGGGTGTCAATTCAATTCATAAGCATTTAATAATCACAAGATTGCAAAGGACAGAGGTAAGGAGAGAGAGTATTCCAGGCATGGGGGACTTGTGCAAAGATGCAGGCCGAACCAGGCATGTGTGATGGGGAAGAATGCATCAACTACCTGAAAAGAAAGGCTGGAGTCGGCTTGTGGTGAGCTTGGCCAAAGAGGTGAAGTCTTATCTTGCCCTAGAGGCAGCAGGGAGCCCCCTGAGTGGAGGAGGGTCATGATTAGACCTGACCTTTAGAAGTCTCCATTTTGTGACTGTTCGGAGGATGTTTGGGTCTGAGAAGAGAGAGGCTGGAGTCTATGGAATAGTCTTGGTGAGAGGTGAGGAGGAGCTGGCCTGCGCTGGTGAGCGTGTGGAGGCGATGGCAATGAGGCTGGGGAAGTGATTAGAAAGGGGGGAAGGGAAAGGGAAGCTGTGAGAAAGATTCTGCGGTAGAGAACCCGCCCGGTGCCCTCCAAGGAACAGGAGAGTCAAGAGGAGGGCTGAGTTTGGGGAAAGAATAATGAGTTCAGTTTGGGCTAGGATGAGTTTAAGGAGAAATGCCAGCAGCTCCCAACTGATATAGGAAGAGAGAGAAAGGCCATAAAGGTATGGACCCACATACATGTATGTTTATTATAGTGCATGCTGTGTATAATATCTCTATATACATGGATGTATGAATACACACATCTATATTTAGATATCATACATGCACCCCGTGTGTACTATGTTTATAAACATGCGTGTGTGCGTGCACACATGTGTGTTCATCTACATGTATGTGTGTAGTGCGAATGTGTCGTGTATTTACACATGTGTGTGAATACACACATGCATGTGTTCGTATATACATACACTCTATACTATATGTGATATACTTATATAATGTATACATGGGCACAATACACATGTTTACATATGTGTATGTGATGTGTGTAGGTGCACACTGTGTATAATATATTCATATACACGAATGTAAAGAGTGTACATATACATGTGTTATATATGTTGTATATGGTGCGTGTATATGCATGCTGTGCATAATACATTTATATACATGTATATGGTTGTGCAAGTGAGCTCCATAGCTAGTAAACAAGTAATGAATATTATATTAAGGTTTGATGCCTATTACAGGGTCCTTCTATTAGAATCTATATTCCTATGTGACTTCTACAAAGTATGGATTAATACATTGCTTATTCTTATACCTATTATTAGGTGATTGACTGGATATGCATCACTGGATGAATATGTTGAAATAATTGCTAACAATCATTACCCCTTGTAAAATCATAATGAATTGATTAATACTGATTAGAGTTTGAGTAGGGGTCCTCAATGAATCATTTCTCTCACATGTATGTATGAATACACATGAACACATGTTTGAACACTGTGTGATACATTTATACACATGTATTATGAATGTACAACATGCATGTGTGTGTATATTATGTGTATATGCACACAGTGTGTGATATACTTATATACATGTATGTGTGTTTATATACATGTGTGCAGCATATAATATAGTTATATATGTGTGGATACATGGTATGCTTGTGTTTATATACATATATGTGTTACATATGACGTGCATGTGCATGCACACTATATACTATTTATATGAGTTTATATGTGCACATATACATGTGTGTCTGTGTGGTACATGTGTATTTGCACACATTGTGTAATGTATGCATATGCATCGCTAGATAGATGTTGGTTGAGGCCATCCATGAGAGCTAACAAAGTCACTGAGAGAACATACAGAGAAAAGAACAGAGGGCCTAGAACAGAGCCTAGAGATGTCTCCATGCACATCCTGGATGATGACTCTGCAAAGGACCAAGGGGGGAGGGTCAGACAGGTAAGAGGAAAACCAAGAGAGTAAATTCCCCAAAACCCAGGGAGGAGAAAAGTAGCTGGAAGGAGGGAGAGGAGTCAGCACTGGGAAACACTTGCAGAGGGTTTCAAGGACACTGAGAAAGGCCCATTGGAATTAGCCAAAAGGAGATCATTAGTTAACCTTATAGAAAGCCTCCTCAGTCAAGTGATAAGAGTGGACGTGATTGCAGTGGGCTGAGAGGTGAGGGATGTGATGTGGAGGCAGACTGTGGACAGCTCTCTTTGAATGTTTGGCTGTGAAAGGGGGGAGAGACACAGGACAACAATTCAGGGGTTGGTAGCTACATACAGGATAAATTAAAGGATAGTGTCAGAGCAAAGGCCCTAAGATTAAGAAATAACAAGCATTTATTAGCACTTACTATGTGCGGGGCGCTGGGCTGAGGATACAAAGAAAGGCAAAAGACAATCCCTGCCCTCAAGGAGCTCACAGTCTAATGGAGGAGACAACATGGAGCAGCTCTAGACAGGATATCTAGACAGGGTAAATAGGACGTAAGGGACAGACTGGGAAAGGCATCCTATGGAAGTTCAGATTTTAGCTGAGAATTAGAAAGAAGCCTTGGAAGGAAGGCAAACATTCCAGACTTGGGGGACAGCCAGGGAAAATGTCCAGAGGTAAGAAGAGATAAAGGTTTTTGTCTGTGGAGCAGCGAGGAGACCAGAGTCACTGGATCAGAGGTTAGGTATATGGAGGGAGGCAAAGTTTGAGAAGATCAGAAAGGTAGGAAGGGGCCGGGTCATGAAGGGCTTTAAAGAGCATCTTATATTTAATCCTGGAGCCGCTGGAGTTTAGTGAATGGGGGTGGGGAGTGGGAGGGTAGCAAGGGAGGGTAGACCCAAACTTCATTTTTTTTAATTAATTTATTTTTAGTTTTCAACATTCACTTCCACAAGATTTTGAGTTCCAAATTTTCTCCCTATCTCTCCCATCTCTGTATCCCATGACAACATACATTCTGACTACCCCTTCCCCCAATCTGCCCTCCCTTCTATCACACATCCCCCTTCTCTTATCCCCTTCCCCTTCTGTTTTCCTGTAGGGAAGGATAGATTTCTATACTCCATTGCCTGTATATCTTATTTCCCAGTTGCATGTAAAAATAATTTTTAACATTTGTTTTTAAAACTTTGGTTTCCAAATTCTCTCCCTTCCTCCCTCCCCACCCACCCTCATTGAGAAGGCAAGCAACTCAATACAGGTTATACATGTGTAATCATGCAAAAGTCTTCCATAATGGTCATGTTGTGAAAAACTACTATATTTCCTTTTATCCTATCCTGCCCCCCCATTTATTCTATTCTCTCTTTTGACCCTGTCTCTCCTCAAAAGTGTTTGCTTCTGATTACCCCCTCCTCTGGTGGTAGACCCGAACTTTAGAAGATTTGACAACTGAGGGGAAGGTGAATAGGAGTGGGGAGAGACTGAAGGCAAGCAGGACCCTCCCTCTCCCCAGCCTCCACCAGCAGCCATTGCAATAGTCCAGGGACGAGGCGATGAGAGCCTGCACCCGAGTAGGACCAGTGCCAGAGGAGAGAAGGGACATCTTCAAGAGCTGTAAAATTGGCAAGACCTGGCCACAGATAGGACATGAAAGGCGAGAGAGAGAGGCTGTTACTTGGGTTGTGAGCCTGAGGGCCTGGGACCATAGTGTTACCCTCTACAATAATAGGGAAGGTAGGGAAGGAGTCTGTTTCAGAGACCCCTAGACATGTGGAATTTAAGGCGCCTGGGACACATCCTGTCCAAGGCAGTTGGAGATTCTAGGCTGGCCTGAGTCTTCTCTCAGTCTCTCCCCATGGGGTGACCCCGAACCTCTTTCCCACTCCCTAGAGTGGGTTCCCAGGGCCTCTGAAGGGTGGGTAAGCATGGATGGACAGGAATTCCTCACTGCCTTCCTGCAGAGTTGTGAACCCGGCTACCACTCAGCCCACCTCCACCTCCTTCTCTCCAGCCTTACCAATAGCCCTGCTACTGTTACTGTCCTAAGCCGGGTGACCAAGACATCACTGTGAGTACAGAACAGACGGTCACAGTCAGTGTCAGCAGTATAGCTAAAATGACTGACAATGCGCCTTTCCTTCAGACTGTGGTAATCAGCTCGGACAGTGCCATCGCGATACAAGTGATCGGTGCTAAGCCAAATAGAGCTGCACTGACCTTGGTCTACCCTGTCAAAATGCTGGCCACTGAGCACTTTGTGCTCACACCTCCAGAGACATCCCTTAAGAATGTCAAGGAGTTTGCAATGATGGCCGGTGCCCCGGGGGCCTCTGTCAGCATCCAGATGAAGGGCTCGGCAACTTTCCAGGATCGGTTGCATCCGGCAGGCAGCACCCTGGCTGTAGAGCTGGGGCCCTATGACGTGGCCCAGCTGACCTCTCTGGCCCCTGGGGGGCTCCAGGATGATGATGTGGTTGAATTTGATATCCGCCCATCCTACCCACTCTACCTGTCAGCCAATGCCCGCAGCCAGGGCCTGCTCTTTGGCCCAGGGGCCGAGTGAGGGTCAGTGACCTACGATCCCTCCTGTGGATGGCTACTGCTCGTTCTATGTGATCAGTGGGGTACCTGGGACCAAGGGCATTGCCCTACTGGTAGCAAAGACAGCCACTGTCAGAGGCATTACTATGGATGGTCGGACTTTGAGGTCAAAGATCACATGGGCATCTGTGCCCAGCAGTGAGTTCTCCTGTGCAGAGGTCAGTTTTGAGACAGATGGCAGGACACACAGTGCTGAGGCTGGAACTACCTGTGGGCAGCTGACTCTTGGGCCGGCTCCTTCTGTGGGGTTTGGGACAGCAGCTGCATGTGGCCTGGGTGAGTGATGGGAAAGGGTCAGAACCATCCTTCTCATCCTCATCTCCTCAGGCTTTTGTCCATGTGTCCCTTTATCCTTCCTCATCACCAGCAGATTGATTGCCAGGTGATGAATTTTTCCAGAGTAGCAATTTATCAGAGCGGACAACAGACCACTTGGACAGAAAGAGGAAATAGATAAGGAATTTGGTGAGCGGATCCCAAGTCTGGCAGATCGATGTGGTCTAGTAATGATTGGGGATTTAAATTTTACAGACATTTACAAAAGCAGCTTCTTCTTAACTTGCCTTAATGATTATTTGATCCTTCAAAAGGTAGAGAAGAATCAATAAGGCAGAATTCTATATTGGATTGGACTTTTATCAGGTAGGAATGATAGAAAACTGACCGCTGCCTCCTGGAGTTTGTGATAGAAAAAAAAGAGGAAAGCCAGGCACATTCTGGCATGCAACCTAGACTTTTTTTTTTACATTTTTTAATTTTAATTTTTATTGATATCTCTTATTTTCTTAGTATATCATTTTAACCAGAGAGCTACCTACCCTTTATGAAACAGAATGAAAAAGAAGGGGGAAAAAAAAAACAGGCAAAACTGACTCAGCAGTCAGATAATACACACAGTGTTCCATATCCATCATGCCCCAGATTTTCAGAGAGTAGGTTTCAAAGAGTTGAGAGGAGAGATAGGTAGAGTTCTATGGACTAAAATTCCACAGGGGATATCTGGTCAGAAAAGAAAGGAAACTCTTAAGAATGAGATTCTAGGGGCCGCTATGTGGCGCAGTGGATAAAGCACCAGCCTTGGAGTCAGGATGGACCTGAGTTCAAATTTGACCTCAGACTCACTAGCTGTGTGACTCTGGGAAAGTCACTTAACCCCAATTGCCTCACCAAAAAAAAAAGAAAAGAAAAAAAGGGATAGAAAATCCAGTGAAGAAAAAAATAAGAGTTATTTGAAGGGATCAATGTGACTGGACAGGAAGTCACCAGCTAACGGATTTTTATATACATATATATTTATAAAATATTTTATATATTTATGTATTTATTATTTATAATATATTATGTTTCTATATTTGTTATGTAGAAATATTATGCATCTATATAATATATTCATAAAATTATATTTATAAAATTACATATTTATATGTTTATAAAATATATTTATATATTTAATTTATAAAATATATAACATGAATATATTTTTATATTTATGTAATATATATTTAGTTTGTGTTTTAGGTGTTTATATATTATATATTTACATATACATATATACACAGATACATATACATACACACATATATACATGTATGTGTGTGTATATATATATACACATATACACACACAAATATAGAAGGAAGGACAAGTAAAAGAGAACTGAAAGGGAATGAAGATCGACACTATAAGAATATAGTGTCAAGAATGTCAAAATTAAGAATTAAAAGACAAGTGAGGAGAGCTAAAAAAACAAAAAAGGTATTAAAAAGGTTTTGGAAATTTTTTAAAGCTAAATTTAGGGGAAGAGGAAGTCCAAAGGAAGAAACGCTGCCTGGGATGGAGAGCAGGTGAAATCCTCCTCTCAGTTCTGTTTTTTGCTGCCAAGCAGAATGAGTCTCAGACTAGAGGACAGGAAACGGCCAGTCGGGACTTTGTAGCCCCATAAGCCAGGAGCTTAGCAGGGAGCACCTGGCTGCTCCGGGAGCTTCATCCCCCTTCCCGGGTGAATGTGCCCCTGGGGGGGTGATAGAGCTGGGAGATAGGATGGACTGACCATTGTCAGCCACCTCTGAGTGACTATGCACTCGGATGTGGTCAGACCTGGATGAATAGTGGTATGAGAAAGTCATTAATGGTTCGGTGTCTGCTGAGGAGAAGGTCTCCATTGGGGCATCCTTGGGGTCTGTGTTTGGCCTCATTTCAGTTTAACAGTTTTCTCTATGGCGTATATAAAGGCATGGATGGTCTAACCAAATATCACTTATGAAATTTGCAGAAGACTGGGGAGGATAGTTAAAAAACAATGGAGTCAAGAGTTAACAAAGGATAGTTAATTATCCCATTAATAGAAGGAAATGTAAAGTCTTAATTTGGGGTCTAAAAAATTCCCACACAAGTACAACAGGGTCAAGATCTGGTTAGATTGCAGTTTGAAAAAAAAAAAAAAAAAAGAGCTGAGGGTTTAAGTGGACCACAAGCTCAATATGAGTCAACAGTGAGATGTGACAGCCAGGAAGGTTGGGTTGCATTGACAGGGTAGAATGTTGGACAGAACTGAGTAAGATCACAATTAATAGAGACAAATGTAAAGTCTTACCCTAGCGTCTAAGAAAATGCCTCATGAGAGGGTGAAGATGATGAGATAGCAGTTTTCTGAGAAAAAGCTGAGGGCTCAAGTGGACCACAAGCTCAATATGAATCACTAGTGAGATATGGCAGCTAAGAAGAGGTCACTGAGATAAGCAAAGCTTCCAGGGATAGGGAGGCACTGCTACTCTCCCCTTCTCAGACCAGGTCAGTCCTGGGTGCCATAGTTTTAGAAGGACATTAACAATCTGGAGAGTGTCCAGGGGAGGGTAACCAGGATGGGGAAGGGCCTCTGGTCCATGACATAAAAGAATTGCCTGAAGGACACCTAAACTGGAGGAGAAGCTTCCCAGCGGGGACTGTTTCTGGTTTGTTTTTACAATCTCTAGGCTCAGCACAGTGCCAGGCACACTGATGCTTGTAGAACTAATTTCCATTTTCTCTTTCCCTGCGGTTTCTTGCCTCACTCCTATAAGAAGCTGCCCTTCTATAATGTCGCCCTTCCCATTTCTTCCCCAGCCTCTTTTCCCCAAGCCCCCTTCGCCGAATTCTCTCCTCTGCCTCACGCCTCTCTACCTCTGTGCCATATCTTTCCCTCCCAGGGCCCTCACAGTGCTTGGCTGCCTCATCCGCCACGTGCTGGGCCCAGGGGGACCCACACTACACGACCTTTGACGGCCGTCGCTATGACTTCATGGGCACATGCTTGTACTCCATGTCTGAGCTGCGTGACTCTGATGGCAACCTGCCTGCCTTCAGTGTGGAGGCCAAGAATGAACATCGCAGAAGCAAGAAGGTGTCCTATGTGGGCCTGGTGAAAGTCAGCGCCTACAGCCAAGTGGTGTCCTTGGCTCGAGGGCAGCAGGGCTTTGTCCAGGTAAGCTGAGCCCCTGGGCACGGGGGTAGGAGGGGCTGGTCAGGGCCCTGTGCCAGGCGTCCCGTCCACGGGCTGCTCCTTGGATCCAGCCCTCAGATGATGCCAGGGAAGAGAGAAGGAGGATCATAGCAGGGTCTCAGATTGAGCGTTTCAAAGGTCATCTAGCCCAAGTCTGTCATTGTACAGGAAAGGAAACTGAGGCCAGAGAAGATAAAGCAATTTGCTCAAGGTCACACAAGGAGCAATTGCTAGAACCAGAGATCCTCAGGTTCCAAAGTCATCTCCCTTTTACACACACACCCAATAGGCCTGCCCCTAGGGAGCCTCTGGTCTGAGTGGGGAGACATGATCCCCTTCCCTAGCCCGGAAAACACGATTCTGTCTTTGGGGGAAGCCCCTGGACATCCTTGCCCTCACTGTACGAAACCCAGCTCATAATTCCCGAGAGGACCCAGTTTCAAGGAAAGAGGAAAAGTTACCCTGGGGGACTTCCCGGAGGAGGGGAGCTCTGGGCTGGGCTCCGGATGTGAGGGGATCCTCGGAGCTGACCAATCCCCGCTTCCCTCCACAGATCAACTACCAGAAGTCTCGGCTGCCAGTGTCCCTGAATGAGGGAAAGCTGAGGGTGTTCCAGAGTGGATCCCGGGGCGTGGTAGAGACGGACTTTGGGCTTCGCGTCACCTACGACTGGGACTCCCAGCTGAGTCTGACCCTGCCGTCCAGCTTCCAGAATAAGGTCTACGGTCTCTGCGGGAACTACAACGGGGATCCCTCGGACGACTTCCTCACCCCGGACGAGACGCAGGCCGCCGACGCCGTGGAGTTTGGCGAGAACTGGAAGCTGGATGACGGTGACGAGTTCTGCTCCAAGGACTGCCAGGGAGGCTGCCCCAGCTGCACCCCCGAGCAGAGCCAGCGCTATGAGGGCGACCAGGTCTGTGGGCTGCTGAGCCTGGCGGGGGGCCCCTTTGCCCTCTGTCATGACATCTTAGCCCCCAGGTCCTTCTTAAATGACTGTGTCTATGACCTGTGTGCCACCGGGGGTGACCGGCCCAGCCTCTGCCAGTCTCTGGATGCCTATGCCACGGCCTGTAGGGAGCAGGGGGTCTCCATTGGGGACTGGAGGACGCCCGCTGGCTGCCGTGAGTGTCCGGGGGCGATGAGGGGGTATGGGGGAACCGAGGACAGAGCGGCGGAGGGGCTGGGCAGCAAAAGACGGGGAAGAGTCCTGCGGGCAGGATTGTAAATGACATTCTCCCGCCTGCGCTTCCGGCCCAGCCTGGTCCTCGGGTTGGGCTCCCGAGGAGCAGACCATGGGGCTATGTCCTGGCTTAGAAAGTTGATTGGAGGGCCTATTACTTCACCCTGACCCCAGCTCCCATTTGGGGGGAAGGGGAGGGTTGGGAGCAAAAATTGAGTAAGCACCTACTACGTGCTAAGGGTTTGCCAGGGTTATCCCATTTGACACCTTCCCTGCCTTCTCTTGGCAGCGATGACCTGCCCTCCTAACAGCTTCTATAATGCCTGTGGCAATGCCTGCCCTGCGTCCTGTTTCCAAGCTTCGGCCCCCTCGGATTGCGGTTCCCGGCCATGCGTGGAGAGCTGCGTGTGCAGAGAGGGCTTCGTGCTGAGCGGGGACGCCTGCGTGCCCACCTCGGCCTGCGGCTGTCAGTACCAGGGCCGCGTGCTAGCCCCCGGAGACAAAGTCTGGGGAGATGATCTGTGCCGGCAGCAGTGCGTCTGCGATGGGAAGACGCAGCAGGTGCAATGCCAGAACACGGGGGGCTGCCCTGCCGGGGAGCGCTGCCGGGTCCTGAACGAGCTCCAAGGCTGTTACCCAGACAGCTATGCGACGTGCCAGGCCTCGGGGGACCCCCACTACACCAGCTTTGACGGGCGGCGCTTTGACTTCATGGGCACCTGCGTCTACCTGCTGACGGGGTCTTGTGGCCAGGATGAGGCACTGCCCGACTTCAAGGTTCTGGTGGAGAATGAGCACCGGGGCAGCCAGGTGGTGTCCTACACCCGGGCTGTGCGCGTACAAGCCCGAGGGGTGGAGGTCGCTGTCCGCAGGAAGTATCCCGGCAGGGTCCTGGTGAGTGGAGGGGTTTGGGGAGGGAGGAGGTGAGGAGATGGATGAGGCACAGCAGAAACAGCCAGGGCCACAGTCTTAGGTGGTGGTGAAGAGTGAACCCTGGCTAGGTGGGAGTGCTCTTGGCTTGGGTTTGGGTCTGGGCTATGAAGTGTGCTCAGAGGTTTGACACGCTCAGGGCGGAGCTTGTAGGCTAATTCATTCATGCATGCATGCATGCATGCATTCAAAAGTATAAAAATTCGAGGTGCTAGAAATACCAAAAATAAAAAACAAAAACAGAAAAGCCAGGCCCCCTTGCCCTGAGGGAGCTTACGTTGAATTGGAGACAAGTGGAGGAGCACAGAATAGATGACCTATGATTGTGGCCTCAGTGGTCTCATCTCTCTTCCCCTTCCCCTGCATCTAGGTGAATGGGGTGCTACAGTACCTGCCCTACCAAGCGGCCGGGGGCCAAGTTCAGATTTTCCAGAGCGGCTCTAATGCTGTGATTCGCACTGACTTTGGCCTGACGGTCTCCTATGATTGGGATGCCCTGGCAAAAGTCCGAGTTCCAAACAGCTACGCCAACGCTCTCTGCGGCCTCTGTGGGAATTTCAACAAGGACCCTAAGGATGACTTCACCCTGCGGAATGGGACCCTCGCTGACAATGCGTTGACCTTTGGGCAGAACTGGCAGGAGGAGACTGTCCCTGGGTGTGAGGCTGTCACTCCAGGAGAGTGCCCACAGCTGGATGACCTCCTAGCCCAGCAGTTACAGAGCAAGAAGGAATGTGGACTAGTGAAGGACCCAGAGGGGCCGTTCCGGGACTGCCAGGCCAAGGTGGACCCTGAGGGCTTCTTCCATGACTGTGTGTATGACAGGTGCCTGCTGGCTGGCCAGCCCAATGTGGGCTGTGATAATGTGGCTGCCTATGTAGCTGCCTGCCACGCCGCTGGGGCCACCGTCCACTCCTGGAGGAGTGACCAATTCTGCTGTGAGTAAATAACTCTAGGGAGGGGCTCTGGGGAGAGAGAAAGAAAGGAGGGAGCCGAGGGGGAACTCATGGGGTAAAGGGAAAAATACCAGCTCTAAACATCTGAGCTCAGATTCTGCCTCTGACACTTCACATTGTATGACAGTGGCCAAGTCAGTATACTTTCCTGGGCCTCAGTGTCTTTCTCTGCAAAATGAGGGATTTGGATCAGATGGTCCCCGAGGGTTCTTGGAAGGCCACCTCTGTGATTCTGTGACCCTGGCTCTGCGAGGGAGAAATGATCACCAGCATCCACAGAGAGACAGAAGCTAAGCATCTAAGAGATCTGACCCAAGGGGACCTGGGCCCCCAGAGCCAGAGACACAGGGGAGCGAGAGACTCAGGCCTCGGGTGACCCTTTCTTTCTTCCCCTAGCTCTGAGCTGCCCTGCACACAGTCACTATGAAGAATGCTTCCGAGGCTGCCCAGTATCCTGCAATGACGTCTCCGTCCCTGAGGGCTGTGGCTCAGAGTGCCAAGCGGGCTGCGTGTGTGATGAGGGGTTTGCTCTCAGTGGGAAAGACTGCATCCCCCTTGCCCAGTGCGGTTGTCAGTTTCAGGGCTCGTACTATGTCGTGGGCCAGTCCTTTTACCCGGGCCCAGGCTGCGACTCCCTCTGCAAATGTGGGGAGGCGGGCATTGTCACCTGCTTGCCCTCCACCTGCGGGCCCCATGAAGACTGCCAGGTGGCCGATGGCGCCCTGGGCTGTGTGGTCGTGGGCTCGGCCACCTGCCTGGCATCTGGGGACCCCCACTACACCACCTTTGATGGGCGGAAATTCGACTACATGGGTGTCTGTGTCTACACCCTGGTCCGTACCTGTGGTTCTCAGAGTGACTTAGAGGACTTTCAAGTCCTGGTGGAGAATGTGGCCTGGGGCAATGGGGCTGTCAGCGTTACTCGGGCAGTGACTGTCATTGTGGCTGGCGTCACCTTGGTGCTGGAGCAAAATCAACAAAAGGTCAAGGTGAGACAGAGCTCAGAGCTCCCAAAGAGGGGAGGGCAGAGGGCTGGATGCCTTGGGGTGGGGCTGGGGAGGCGAGACATCTCTACTCGTGGTTGGCATCACCATGTCCCAAGGCCAACCTCTACCACTGGGTATCTCCCTTTCTTCCGGGCAGTAATATGGGATGTGGGATGAGAGACTTGTACTCTGCAGTGGACCCTGAGGCCCTCTTCCCTCACCCCAGGTAGATGGCGTGGCCCTGAAACTCCCCGTGGTCCTGCTCGGTGGCCGTGTCCGAGCCTATAAGAACGGGAAGGACACTGTGATTGAGACCGACTTCGGTCTGCGGGTGGCCTATGACCTCACCTACGATGTCCGGGTCACCGTCCCTGGCAATTACCACAGTAAGCTCTGCGGCCTGTGTGGGAACTACAACGGGAAACCCGAGGATGACTTCCAGAAGCCTGATGGTCAGCTGGCCACTAACCCTGGAGCCTTCGGAGACTCCTGGGAAGCAGCTGTTCCCGACTCCCCCTGCAACCCCGTCTGTAATCCCACATGCCCCGATGAGCCCGAGTGCGAGGCTGAGCTGGCTGAACCCTACAAGCAGGAGCGCTACTGTGGTTTCATCGCCAGTACCCAGGGGCCCCTGGCCGCCTGCCACGCCCTGGTCAATCCCAGCGGCTACTTCGAAAACTGTGTCTTTGACCTCTGCCTGGGCGGGGGCAGCGAAGACATCCTGTGTGATAACATTCACGCCTATGTGTCAGCCTGTCAAGCTGCCGGTGGCGCTGTCCAGCCTTGGAGGACTGACAAGTTCTGTCGTGAGTGATCTAGCCAGGGAGGAGGATGGGCAGACTGAGAAAGCCAGGAAGGAGGCTGAGGGGACAGGGAGGGAGGCTGAAGGTCAGAGGTGGAGAACTGAGGGACAGGGAGAAGGGGCGGCTAAGCTACAGGTAGGGAGACTGAGGCACAAAGGTGGGGGAGACAGACAGAGGGAGAGAGTTGAGAGATGTGAGGGAAGTGAGGAAGAGGCCGTAGTCCTGTCTCTTCATTCCTCGGGCCCTCGGGGTGCATTGGTGATGAGGACCCCTTCACCACTGGGGAAGCTAGATTATTTCCCTCCCCCCCCCGACTCTGATCTGTCTCTTTCCCTGTCTCCAGCTTTGGAGTGCCCCCCCAATAGTCACTATGAGACGTGTGCAGACACCTGTTCACTGAGCTGTGCGGCTCTGAGTGCGCCCCCCAACTGTCCCGGCGCCTGCTCAGAAGGCTGCCAGTGCGACGTGGGCTTCGTCTCGGATGGCCAGGCGTGCATACTCATTCAGGACTGTGGCTGCTATGTGAATGGCAGATACTTTGAGGTAGACCCGCAGCTACCCTGGAGAGGCTTCCTTGAACCCACAGACCTCCTGGCCCAGCCCTGCCCCACAAACAGCGGCTCCTCCACATCCTCAGACTTGCCTCTGAGCTGAGGGAGCCCAGGCAGGAATGGGCTTCCCCAGGGTAGATCTGAAATCCCCATTCCTTCATCCTCCACAGCCCAACCAGCCTGTGCTACTCAACAACTGTAGTCAGCAGTGTACGTGCCATCCCGGGCAAGGTCTGGTCTGCCAGCGGCATGAGTGTGGTGCTGGCCAGGTGTGTGAGCCCTCAGGAGGCATCCTGAGCTGTGTAACCAAAGGTGAGCAGCCTCTTTGCCTGGAGGGAGGGAGGGAGAGCCTGAACTCACCAGACTCCCAGGAAGGTCGGGGGGATGGATGTCGGGGCTCAGTGAGGGCTAGAGGCTGGACCCTGCAGGGACTCTCAGACACCAGGGGTTAGGCTGAGGGCTGGATACTGGGGTCCCAGGGGTAGTGAGGTCTGAGTGGTTAAAAGAAATAGAAAGTTGGGGGCTCTGGAGGGAGGGCCAGAAGGTTTGGAGGGGACTGCTTGGGTCTCAGTCTCGCCCGTACCCACAGATCCCTGCCGGGGCGTGACCTGCCTGGAACAGGAGACATGCAAAGTTCAGAACGGCCAGGGCGTCTGCGTCCCTAACTCCCAGGCCACCTGCTGGCTGTGGGGTGACCCCCACTATCACTCCTTCGATGGTCGAGAATTTGACTTCCAGGGCACCTGCTCCTATGTCCTGGCAGCCCTGTGTGGGGGGCCCGCCAGCCTCCCCGCCTTCACCGTCATCACCAAGAATGAGAACAGGGGAAACCCTTCCGTTTCCTTTGTGCGCCAGGTCACTGTCACTGCCTATGGTACCAACATCTCTATCCACAAAGATGAGACTGGCCAAGTGCGGGTGAGTGCCTGGCAGAGGGTAAGGTTCCACCAGTCCTACTGGTTGTCTGAGCTGCGGGCAGGGCAGGGCAGAGCAGTGGTTAGAGGCACCTCCGATGTCGGAGCACTCAGCTCGGGGATATAGAGACATGAGCCCCGTCGTAGTAGGCAGAGGACTGGACTCGTGCGTTAAGACCTGTGTTCATGTCTCAATTTTGGTGCTGTGTCATCTTTCTGAGCCTCAGTTCCCTGATCTGTAAAATGGAGATAATGCTCCCTGTGCCTCAGGGGGTTGTCAAGAGTCCTCTAGAAATGTCAGCTATTATTCATGGGGTTATCGCAGACCTAGGGGCCCTGTGCACAGAAGCCACGTGTGTATCTCTCTTGAGTGGAGGCACCCGTACCTAGAGTCATAGGGTCATACGTGTAAAGCTGGAAGAGTCCTTAGAAATCATTGAATGCAGTTCCCTCATTCTACAGATAAGGAAACTGAGGCTGAAAAGGTAGAATTTGAACTCAAGTCTTCCTGACTCCAGATCTAACATTTTCTCTCTCTCCCAAGCATGGCTGTCCTTGGGGTAGGGAGTGAGGGGGCGGGAGGCTCTGGGCTTGGCTAGGAAGTCTGCTGCCCGGCCTGATGTCTCTTTCCCTCTCTGCATACTGCCCCCCAGGTGAATGGTATATTGACCACTCTTCCAGTGCGTATGGCTGGAGGGCGCCTCTCTGTGTCCCAAGGCCCGAACATGGCTGTGCTGGACACCGACTTTGGCCTTCGTGTCACCTACGACTGGAACTGGAGAGTGGAGGTGACCCTGCCCAGCAGCTACTATGGGGCTGTGTGTGGGCTGTGCGGAAACTTTGATGGCAACTCTTCTAACGACATGGCCTTTCCCAACGGGACCCTAGCACCCTCCATTCCCAGCTGGGGCGGCAGCTGGCGGGTACCCGAGTGGGACCCTTTCTGCTGGGATGAGTGCCAAGGGAACTGCCCGATCTGTGAGGAGGACGAAAAGGAGCAGTACCAGGGCCCCAACTTCTGTGGGCCCCTGGCCCCTGGAGCCAGAGGCCCCTTCTCTGCCTGCCACGCCCACATCAAGCCCGATAACTTCTTCACTGGCTGTGTCCTGGATGTCTGCCTCGGGGGTGGCTCTCAGGACATCCTCTGCCGAGCCCTGGCCTCTTACGCAGCCGCATGTCAGGCTGCTGGCATCACCATTGGGGACTGGAGGACCCAAGCCAAATGCCGTGAGTGTGAGGGGGAGACAGTAGCACCCAGGGTCAGCCAGCCCCCAGTGCCTTGTCTCTCCCGTTCCTACCTTCTGCCCCTCTGTCTGTGTCCAGACTCCCCCACCAACACCATCTCTGCCTCTGTCTTACAGCCTATGCCTGTGAGGAAAATAGCCACTACGAGCTATGTGGTCCAGCCTGTCCACCCAGCTGCCCAGGTCCAATTCCCGCCCCACCATGCTCTGGAAAGTGCAGCGAGGGATGCCAGTGTGATGACGGCTTCATCCTGAGTGGCAGTGTCTGCGTGTCCCGGGAGGACGGCTGCGGGTGCTGGGCGAATGGTACCTACCACGAGGCCGGGGCTGAGTTCTGGGCCGATGCCAGCTGTTCATCCCTGTGCCGCTGTGACCCTGACAAAAGCCAGCTCCGCTGCTCCCCGGCAAGCTGTGTGCCAGGCCAGGAGTGTGCCATCCTGTCCAGCGGCCTCTACGGCTGCCGCCCCCTCAGCAGCGCTGTGTGCCAGGCTTCTGGCGACCCCCATTATATAACCCTGGACGGGAGGTTCTTTGATTTCCAGGGCTCCTGTGAGTATCTCCTGAGTGGTACCTGCACTGACCCCAAGCCCGGAATAGAGACCTTCTTTGTCATCGTGGCCAACACCCACCGTGGGAACCAGGCTGTCACATACACCCAGGATGTGACGCTGCATGTTTACAGCCACACCTTTGCCCTCAGCAGCTCCTTCCCCCACAAGCTGAAGGTCAGTGATATTCAGAGGGCACCCACCTGGGTGCCCCTCAGTGGTGGGGTCTGACTCAGTGTCCCAGATCTCTCACATTGACCAGCTGAATTCCCTTCAACCAGCCTCTGTGCTGGACACCATGCCAAGCCCTGGGGACCCAAATATACAGACTTTAGTCTAAAAAACAGACCATCCCTGACCTCAAAGTACTTATGTTCTACTAGAGGGATTTTTTTTTTTGATCTTTCCATTTCATTGCCGTAAAAACTCTCTCCTGAATCAGCTTAGCAATTAGTCTTAGAATTAATTACCAAGGAAGCTGAGGAGTTAATCCACCTGCCTGTAGTTACCTAGCAGCAGCTAGATTGGAACCCAGGTCTAACAGCTGTCTCTCCATTGGGGGCCCAAAGGTTAGGCGCTCACAACACATAAATAGATGGCGATCAGATGGGAGGAAAGAAAACTTACTGACTCAGCCAGAGAAGGGGTGGAGATCAGGGAGGCTTCATGGAGAAGGTGCCACTGGAGTTGAGCCTTGAAGAAAGATGAGGATTTTAAGAAATAGTAGATAAGGGATGCATCCCAGGAAAGGAACCCAACGTGTCTAAATGCAAGAAGGCAGAAGACGGAAGGCTGAGCTTGGGGAGCCAGTTTGATTGGAATGAAGATGCTAGGGAGGGGTGAGAAGTAGAAAGAGGGTGGAGAGGTGAGATAGGAAGGGACTGGAAAGGGCCTTGAATGCTGGGCTAAGGGTTTTGTGCTAGGGGGTGGCATGGTCAGACCTGAGCCTCAAGTAGGCGATTCAGGGTCACTCCAGACCTACGTGCTGAATCTCTAACATCGTCCCGCTAACCGGCTGTGCAAACCTCTCTTCTACCCCCTGCTCACACTCACCCTCCCACGCTGACCCCAAGCTGAGCTTCCACACTGCCTAGGGATGCTGACCTCAGCTGATGCTCCCCCACAGAGCCCCTCCCCAGAGCGGATCTCCAAACGCTGACAGTCAAGCTCATCTCCCCTCAACCCCACTGAATGCCCAACACTTTACACTCTCCGCTGACCAGTCATGCTGACATGGACCTCGCCATCAGCGCTGGGGGGGCCATCTTCATTTCTCACGCCCCTTCCTTCCCGTTCCCCTAGGTGGACGATAAGCTGGTGGACCTGCTCTTCTGGCTGGACACACGTCTCCAGGCGTACATCAGCGGCTCAGACGTGGTGATAAAAACTGCCTTCGGCCTGACTCTGACCTTCAATGGGGATAGCTTGGCCCGGCTGCAGGTCCCCTCTCAGTACCAAGGCGCTTTGTGTGGGCTCTGTGGGGACTATGATGGGGACCCTAAAAATGACCTCACTCCCAAGGGCAGCCAGCCAGGCAATGACCCCGTGGCCTTTGGCAACAGCTGGAAAGTAGGAGGCAGTGCTGACTGTGGTGTGTGCGGGCCCAGTGGCTGCCCAGACACCTGTGGCAAGCAGGAGCAGTCTCAGTTTGGAGGCCCCGAGGCCTGTGGGGTGATTTCGGCAACTGACGGACCCCTTGCCTCTTGCCATGGCCTCGTGGATCCCACCCCCTTCTTCCAAAACTGCTTGCTGGACACCTGCCAGGCCCAGGGCCATGCCAACGGCCTCTGTCCGGCGTTGGCCACGTACGTAGCTGCCTGCCAAGCTGCTGGTGCCCAGCTGGAGGAGTGGAGACGGCCGGATTTCTGCTGTAAGAGCCCCCTCCTGCCACCCACTGGAATGTTTGGACACGACCCCAGAGCCCACCCCTCTTTTCCTTCGCCAACATTCTCCTCTGCCCCTGGCTCTCTTGACCTACATGCCTTCCCCACCCTCACCTCAAATCCCCGGATCTTTTCCCCTCTGTGCCCCTGTCACCCTTGACTCCCTTATTCTGTCTCTGTCCCCTCACTGATGCCCTGTCCCCCCTCCTCCTCTTCCTTACTCCCTTCTCCCCCTCCTTTTTCCGTCTCTCCCTCCTCTTCTCCCCTCTCCCACCTCCTCTTCCTCTCTCCCTTCCCCCCTTTCCTCTCCCCTCCCCTTCTCTCCCTTCCTTTCCCTCCCCTCTCTTTCTTCTCCTCCTTCCCCTCTCCCTCCTTCCCCTCCTCCCCCGGCCCCCCTTCCCTCTCCCCTTCCTTCTCCCCCTTTTCTCCTCCTCCCTCTCTTCCCCTACCCCTTTTCCCCACCCTCCTCTAACTGGTTTTTCCCGCCCTCCAGCCTTTCCCTGCCCTGCCAACAGTCACTACCAGCTCTGCGGTGACTCATGCCCCAGAAGCTGCCCAGACCTCTCCACTCCGCAAGGCTGTGTCTCGGCTTGTCGCGAGGGCTGTGTGTGTGACTCTGGCTTTGTCCTCAGTGGGGACGCCTGTGTGCCTCTTGGCGAGTGTGGCTGCCTCCACGAAGGTCACTACTACCCCCTGGGGAAGACCTTCTTCCTGGGGGCCGACTGTGAGCAGCGCTGTGAGTGTGGCCCTGGTGGCGTGGTCACCTGCCACGAGGGCTGTCCCTGTGGGCCTCATGAGGAGTGCCGCCTGGAGGCCGGCGTCCAGACCTGCTACCCCAAGGGCTGTGGCCGCTGTCTAGTGTCCAGCAGCATCCACTACGTGACCTTTGATGGCCGGGTCTTTGATTTCTACGGCTCCTGCTCCTATGTGCTCACCCGAGTGTGTCAGCCCCTGCCTGGCTACGACAACTTTACCATCATCCTGGAAAAGGATGCCAAGGGAGACCTAGAACGTGTACTGGTGACCGTGGGTGACCAGACTGTGGGCCTGGGCCGAGGCCTGAAGGTGAGGGGCCCACACAGCTGGCAGAATAGAAGTTTGGGGTGGGGAGGAAAAGAGGAAGAGGCGGGGTCCTCCTTCCCATGGGTGAAAGCAGAACCCAAGACACAAGAAATAGGTGAACGCTCAGAGAGTACGGGTGGACAGGAGTGGACCGAAAAGATACTAGCTGTCTAATACAATAAAAAAGGCATTGACCTGGGAGTCACAAGCCCTGGGCTCAAGTCCTGTGTCACCTGTGAGCCTGGTAAGCCTGGGACTTTAGGTGACCCTTCACTTCTTCCTTCCCACTGAAGGAGACCAGACTAAGTCCTTCTCTGCTCTAAAACTTTAGTCTGGGGGCCCCAGAGACCATCATTTTATGGATGAGGAAACTGAGGCCCAGAAATGGGTCCCTGAGTAAAAAACAGTGACTTAGTAATCCGGCAGTTTGTCCAGACGGATTAAGTAGGAAGCGCTCCACAGCAGGGGAGCAGAGCTGAATGGCCCCTACTGTAATCTGTGTCTGCAGATCACTGTGGATGGGGAGTTGGCGGTGCTGCCCGCGGCTGCTGGTTCCGTGAAGCTGACCCCGGAGGGCCGGAATGTGGTCCTGCAGACCACCCAGGGGCTGCGGCTCCTTTTCGATGGCGATGCCCACCTGCTGCTCTCTGTGCCCAGTCCTTACCACGGTCACCTCTGCGGGCTCTGTGGGGACTTCAATAGAAATTGGAATAACGACTTACTCCTGCCAGATGGCAGCATGACTTCAGAGGTACACACCTTTGGGGCAGCCTGGCGCGTGCCAGGCTCCCCCTGGAACCGGCCCTGTGGGGAGGGGAAAGAGGCAGGTTGCTGCCCCGTGTGTTCTGCGGAGCAGACAGCTCCCTACGAGAGTCTTCAAGCCTGTGGGCGGCTCCGCGACCCCCAGGGCCCCTTTGCTGCCTGCCACGCCGTGCTGAACCCCTCAGAGTATTTCCGCCAGTGCGTGTATGACCTGTGTGCCAACCATGGCAATGCCAGCAGCTTGTGCCGCAGCCTGGGCACCTACATCGCGGACTGCCAGGCTGCTGGGGTCACTCTGAAGCCTTGGAGGAGCGACAGCTTCTGTCGTGAGTAACCGTAGTCAGGGATCTGGAGCAGGGTGGGAGAAGAGTACAGATGCCAGGAAGGGTATGGTGAGGCAGGGGATACCCAAGGAAATAGCTCTTCTCTTTCTAGTGGTAAAAATGGTGAGTAATCACATGGAATGTTCTTATAAAATGTAAAGAAGGCTTCATAAGTATAAAGTGGGAAGGCAGGGCTAGATAGTGGTATGTCTGAAAAGGCTCTGGGGTTTCAGTGGACCACAAGCTCAATATGAGTCAGCAGTGGGATGGGGCAGGCCAAAAAGTTTCCTGGGGTCCCATTTCCACATGGTGTCTGGGTGGGGGGGCAGGAGGAGTACCAGGGCCTCACCCGTCCTCACGTTTCTCTCCTTCAGCACTCTCCTGCCCAGCTCACAGTCACTACTCAATCTGCGTTCACGGGTGTGAGGCCTCCTGCTCTGTGCTCTCCGGCCTAGGGGGCTGTACCACCCGCTGCTTTGAGGGCTGTGCTTGTGACCACGGGTTCCTGCTGTCCGGGGGGGTCTGTGTGCCTGTCCAGGACTGCGGCTGTGTTCACCAGGGCAGCTACCTCCCAGTAAGGCTCTCAACGCCTGGGTCCTAGGGAGGGGCAGGAGAACGGGCACAGAAGAATGCCCCTGGCCCCGGGGGCCCTCGAGGCTTAGTCTGAGCTCCTTGTCTGTCTGCCAACAGAGCAACTCCTCCTTGGTGTCTGTGGACTGCTCCCAACGGTGCAACTGCACCCTGGGAGGCCAACTGAGCTGCCAAGCCATGAGCTGCCCCGCGGGCAGCCTGTGCCAGGTGCAGGCAGGATCCAGGGGCTGCCAGGGCCCCACCGGTGTCTGCTCCCTCTCCTCCCAACTCAACACTTTCGACGGGCTGGAGGTCTCAGCCGAGGTGGCAGGCATCTTCGAGCTCTCGGCCCTCCGCTCCGAGACGTCCACAAATGACTTCCAGTTCCGTGTGCTGGCCGACTTCCAGCCCTGCCTCCAGGCCTTCAAGACGGTGAAGCGGGCCCACGTCTTCGTCAAAGACAGCCTGGTCACGCTGACACCAAATGGCCCAGTGTGGGTGAGGCCGCTGTTTCCGGGTCCTGGGGCAATGCTACATCTAGGTCTTTCTCTCTTCATTTTCCCTGTGTTTCTTGTTTCTTCACCTATCTCTGTGTCTCTCAGAGGATCCATCCTCCCACATCTCCCTCCTTTCATCTCCATTTGTAATTTTCACTGTCCCTATCCCTATAGCTAGCCTTTATATAGCACTATAAGGTTTGCTCTGCAGATAATTATCTCATTTGAATCCCCATAACAACCCTGTGAGGTAGGTGTTATTATTATACGCATTTGACAGATGAGAAAACTGAGGCAGATAGAGGTTAAGTGACTTGCCCGGGGTCACACAGCTAGTAAGTGTCTGAGGAAGGACTGGAACTCAGGCCTTCCTGACTCTAGGCCCAACGCACTATCTGTTGCACCACCTAGCTGCCTAGCTGTCACCTACCTGGGCCTTGGTTTCCTCATCTGTAAAATAAGGGGGTTTATTTAAGGATGGTTCCTGAGATCCCTTCCAGCTGTAGGCATCTGGTTTTGCCTTTTTAAACAAATGTCCTGTGTCCGTCTCAATGTCCCCATGTCTCTATACATTAGTGTCTCCGGTTCCCTGCTTCTACCAATCTTGGTTGCTATGTGTGTCTCTGCCTCAGTTTCTCAGCCCCTCCCTTTTCTCTCACCTCCGGCCCTCAGGTGAACGGACAAGAGACGACCCTCCCCAATAAGGTGCTCCTGACTGTGTCTGTGCACAAGTCTGCTGATGGGACCCTCCAAGTGCGTCAGGAGGGAGGGGTGCACGTGCGGCTCAGCCCAGCCGGGGAGCTGGAAGTGATGGTCGATGAGGCCCACGCTGGGAAGCTGGGGGGCGCCTGTGGGAACTTTGATGGGGATCAGACCAATGACGTGAAGGACTCCAAAGAGACCGCAACCCTGGAGGACTGGGAAGCCAAGGACTTCTCCCCATGGTGAGGAGCTTAGCTGGGGTCCCTGGGAGCAAAGGCTGGACACCAGGGTCTCTGAGAGGAGCAGGGATTGGGGGTCCTGGGGAAGCCTAGAAAGGGACTAAGTTTTGCTTAGGTGATCGAGCAGGTGTCTCTCCTCCAGTTCTACCTGATTCACGGACCTCCCTGCATCATCCTGGACCACGTCAGCGTCCGTGAGACATCGTCACACCCCTAAGATGGTTATTGGGCCCGGTGGCTGAGGGAGGGGGTTGGGACAACAAACCCCCTTCTCCCAATTAGACCATTTCTGAGAAATGCTAATAAATCTCTAAATACAGTCTGGAACAAGTCCACATGTCAGTGTGTGTTTCCTCTACTCTAAGGTATTGAACACGTTTAGAAAGAGCATGTCTGTCCCATGATGACTTTTGTCTTTGCACCTCATCTCATGGTCCTTACCCAGGGCTAGGGAAATTCCAAGGGGAGAAACAATGTGAGCAGATTCCCAAAGGAGGCCTCATGCTATGGCCCGCTTGCCCTTCTGGGGTCTGCTTTTCCATCCATCTACCTTGGAGGAGAGGGACAGACTCTGGGAAACTGGGCCACGCCCACTCCTGTCCCACCTCTCACTCAAATGATCTGCCCCTGAAGCTGTGATTCCTAGTTACAACTCTGCCTTCACCATGTTCCAGAAGTCACTAGTCCTCCATAGCGGAAAGGTTTCCCAACCACCCCCATATGGTGGATAGATAAGCACACTCATACACTGTTGGTGGAGCAACAGGAACCCACCAGTGTTTAATGGGTAGGGGAGATCATAGTCAAACCTATACTTTAGGATTTAATAGCTGAGTGGAAATCATTCTGGAAAACAGTGGTAAGATGGTGACTGCATTGTCCATGCCCTGGAAAGAACAGATCATCAGCAATAATAATGGAGTTTGAAGGTTTACAAAGCACCTTTACATATACTAACTCATCTGTCATTTATTATCTACGTACTTAAAGGCCAAGAATTATGCCAATGTTATTGGGGAAAACCCAATGGTTTTTAAATATCGTGAAGACATCCCCCATTGCCCTTTAAGGAAAAATTCCTAAAACAATCTACACAAATAATTTTTTAGCTCCTGTTTGTTTAAAATAAAAATATGACATTTGATTTAAAATTCATACAAATGATAACCAATTTATCGTTCCTGAGTTATTTTAATTTTTAAGTTGGAGATGTTTCAGGAAACCAGGTCATTGAGAAATATAGCAGATACTGCTGCCCTTTTAATGTCATAAACAAAGATTATTTAACTTCACATACACATGATTCATAGGCAAATGCAGCAAGCAACTCGATGCCCAAGTCATTTCTGTTATGAACCCATACCAACTGGCTAATGGTCACAGGGGTCGATTACTCCCACGTGGAAATTTGTCCAACAGGCACCACCACCAATTTGACCTTGTTTGTGCACACACTGGATTGTATAATCACCGGGGCTGCATGCAGTCCCTGTCAGACAGAGCAAATTCACCAGGATTGATCTCAATTTTGTTGACATTGGTTTGAACTTTTTTTTTCCATTAAAAAGTGGACGCTTTGGGGCAGCTAGGTGGCACAGTGGATAGAGCACTGGCCCTGAAGTCAGGAGGACCCGAGTTCAAATTCAACCTCAGACCAAACGCGTGACACTTAACTAGCTGTGTGACCCTGGGCAAGTCACTTAACCCCAATTGCCTAAAAAAAAAAAAAGTGGATGTGTTTATGTAAGAATAGAACTAAAAAATATTCAATAATGTTGACTACCACTTTCTGCTTTGTGCCTGGTTCCTTTTTTGATTCTTCCCTAGACTGGGAAGACCTTGCAATTGGAAAATTATGCTTTATGGGAAATAAGAGAAGGGAGTGTTGGGGAGAGGTTGTAAATCCCATTTGAGACTGAAGTTACATGCTTAGACTGTTTAATTTTTTAAAAGATAGTTCTGAGATAAAATTTTCTCATGTCCCAGTGCCAAACATTCTGGTCTCAGAAAATTCACCCATTTTGACTCATGATTCACCAACTTCATGTCTCCATGTTCTTTCCTCACCAAATCTCTTCCCGCCACTCAAACCTGCTTAGTCATGACTCAGACTTTTGTCAAGGGGAAACTCAGATTCAGCTCTGCATCTATTTAGGGAAATTAATGTAGCTGGGGGTGTCATGTGTGGCTCACAGGGAGGCAAGAATAGATGTGTCTAGTATCTCTGCCCAGACCTTTCTCCAAGAGAGACTTGGAATCTTGTAGAAAAGGGGAGCCAGAGGGTGGCCACTCTGCTCTTTTTTTTTTTTTTTTTAAGGCAATTGGGGTTAAGTGACTTGCCCAGGGGTCATGCAGCTAGTAAGTGTCAAGTGTTTGGTCTGAGGCCAGATTTGAACTCAGGTCCTCTTGACTTCAGGGCTGGTGCTTTATCCACTGTGCCACCTAGCTGCCCCCCACTCTGTTCTTCTAAGAGAGAGAGGGTACTGGGCTAGAATTCTCTCTCTCAGCTCCATTAAGTGTTATTAGTCTAGACCAGAGGTTCCCAAACTTATTTGGTCTATCGCTCATTTTAAAAAAAAATTATTTAGTGCCCCACCTAGAAATCTATTTTCTTTTTTCTTTTTCTTTTTTTTTTTTTTTTGGCTAGGCAATGGGATTAAGTGACTTGCCCAGGGTCACACAGCTAGTAAGTGTCAAATGTCTGAGGTTGGATTTGAACTCAAGTCCTCCTAACTCAGGAGAACCACCTAGTTGCCTCCTTTTTTTTTTTTAAGTTTTTTTGTTTGTTTGTTTTTTGACTAGGCAATGGGGTTAAGTGACTTGCCCAGGGTCACACAGTTAGTAAGTGTCAAATGTCTGAGGCAGCATTTGAACTCAGGTCCTCCTAACTCCAGAAGCAACATCTAGTTCCTCCCCCCCTTTTTAAAAAGTTTTTTGTTTGTTTTTTGTTTTGTTTTGGCTAGGCAATGGGGTTAAGTGACTTGCCCAGGGTCACATAGCTAGTTAAGTGTCAAGTGTCTGAGGCTAGATTTGAACTCAGGTCCTCCTGACTCCAGGGCCTGTGCTCTATCCACTGTGCCACCCAGCTGCCCCAAAAATCTACTTTCCTTTAACAATTTTTTTTTGAAATTTGCATCATTTCAAAAAATGTAAAATATTTTTAAATGACACATCTTAAATTTAATAATTTATTGTAAATGTGTGGTTTTTCCTGCATTGAGATTTTGATGACACAATATTGCATCATGTAACCATATAGTATCATATTGTAAACAAGTCATTACACGCACATATTCCTGCAGGTGCATGCTGGACTTCCCGACAATGCACCACTGGCTCACCTGCCAACACTTGCTTGTTAAGACCTGTTGGCAGACTTGACCACTGATAGGTTATAACTTGAATTTTGTGGGTTTATCTGGAAAATAATGTAATCTCTATGACTTTAACTGTTACACAACAGATGAAACATGTATGACCAGTTTTTCAAAATTTTCTTCTCTTCTTTCCTTATGCTTCCATCGCACCCTTATTTTTATTCAACACCCCCCAATTGCACCTGAGGCTACTACTGCCCCCCCACATTGTTCCAGTGCCCCCTAGGGGCCAATATCACTCACTTTGGCAACTCATGGGGCCTTAGAAGTTGCAATTCGTAGGATCAAGTTAACCCCCTGATCAGTATTCATCAATGGGGAAAAGAGAAGTCCAAGCTTTATAACCAATGCTTGACCCCCTTCCCACCAAATACCAGGGTCCATAATGAACACTCACATTACAAATAGCAAAGAAACCCATTTACCCAAGTTGAAAGAACAACAGAAATCAGAGAAAGTTTACATATGAGAATATATATCAGACAATAAAGACTGAAGATGTTCTGTTGCTGAGAACAAGGTAACTTAGTTCAACCAACAGAGAATCCCGTATTTCATCCAAGAGGAAAAAATTTCTTTAAGTCTCTAGCACAGAAGACTGTGGATAGGGATACAATGAAAACTGCCAGCTCCTATAATGTTGGCTTCTTCCCAGAGTCTTTCTCTCCCTTCAGCTACTTGAAGAGAGGTTAGAATGACCCATCTTGTTTTTCAGAGGTAGAAGTCAGGACCCAAAGAGACTGAAGACTGGAGTTTTCTTTTCTCTCGGTCTCACCAGCTCCACCCTGCCCCTCACCTAAGTAAGGTACATTTATTTTCCCCAATGAGGACGGGGTCTCATGCCAATAGGCTTTGGGGCTCAGGCTACATTCATAAAATATAATAAGCCCTAAGTTTCTCATGTTACTCTTATCAACACAATGACCAGCAACAACTCTAGAGGATTGATGATAAAGTAGGTTACCCACCTCCTGATAGGGGTGATGTATTCAAAATGCACAATGAGATACAGTTATCTATTTTTCAACACAGCCAGTGTGGGAATTTGTTTTGCTTGACTGTGCACATTTGTTACAAGAGTTTTCTGTTTCTTTCTTTTTAAATTTGATGGGGAGATGGTAAGGAGTAAAAATTAAAATTTTTTTTAAAGATTACATCTTATTTAGCTCAGATGACCCCAAGCAGGATCAAATCCTGGCAATTTTTTACTAAGTTCCTGAACCTCTGTCTCTCCATATATATGTATATGTGTGTATGTATGTATGCATATACACGTATGTATGTGTATATGTACACAAACACACGTGTGTACATACACGTACGTGTATGTGTATATACATATGTGGGTGTATATGTATGTATATATATATATATGGCATATAAATATAGCATGCCAATTACTATCCCTCCCAGTGTTTGCAGCTCCCCAAACACAAATCATGAAGCATGTTGACCAGACCAGTATTTGTCATTGTTGTTGAGTTGTTTCAGTCATGTCCGACTTTTTTGCAACTCCTTTTCTGGGAGTGTTTCCTTGGCAAAGATACTAGGGTGGTTTGACATTTCCTTTTCCAGCTCCTTTTACAGATAAGGAAACTGAGGCAAACAGGGTGAAGTGACTTGCCCAGGGTCACACAACTAGTAAGTGCCTGAGGCTAGATTTGAACTCATGAAGATTAGTGTTGCTGATTTCAAACCCAGTACTATATATAGAAGTATAATTTTTTCTTTCCATTTTTGATATGTTCAATAAATTAGATGATCATGGTACATAGAATGACTCAGTCCTGTGAATGGGAGTTTTGGGGGTAGAGGAATCATAACCACAGATAATCCAGCTATAGAGTTGGCACTCTATAAATTTATCTTTTTTAATATATTGAATAAGATCTCATTTCATCCCCTAGGTCAGTGGTTCTCAAAATATGGCCTTCAGACTCCTCAAGACCACCCAAGACCCTTTTCAAAGGATCTGTGAAGTAAAAACTATTTTTATAACAATACTAAGATATTATTTGCCTATTCAAAAATCTGTCCCTTTTCCAACTACATATCTGGGGTGAAGCCAAATTTTCTCCATATACTTCAACCAAAATGAAATATCAAAACAGACTGAATGTAACTGATACCAGAATACAGCTGTCTTCTATTAAGCCAGACATTAATGTGTGTATGTGAGCATGTGTGTGTGTGTGTGTGTGTGTGTGTAAAACAACACCACCCTTCTCCCTAAATTTTTTGGGAAAGTAATTATTTTTCATAAAAATTTATTTTTGATAACACGGCTTATTACTGCACTTCTCTGGACTGCCTTCCTGGTGGCCTCCCTGAGCAGCTCAGACTAACTCCCTTGCTGGATAATTAATATGAGACATGCCACCTTTCTCTAGAGGGTGGAAAGCAGTTAGCTAACTGTTCTGGACTGCGTAATGGCCCAACTGTCAAGCAATTGTCCCACATGGGCACACATGAAACAGTTCTTAATGTTCCACTGGGATGACATTCCACTGGGATGACATTCCACTGGGATGACATTCCACTGGG